TTTGCTCTTCAGATTCTTTCCCCCATCCCGCCAGGGCAGGGGAGAGGGGGGAGCGGGCAGGGTGACCGAGCAGCTGTGTGGTGCTTGGTTGCCAACTGGGGTTAAACCACAACAGTAGGCCTTTCTGAAACGCATGCAATTTTTACAGACTTCTTCACAAGTCTCCTATACTGCAGCTTTTGGGTTTGCTGTTCGTTGCAAATGGGCCTATTACTCCTTTCTTGCACACTCTGCACGTCTACTCACCAGGTTTCCTGCTCAACACATCTCTCATCCCTTGCACCACAAGATTTTAAGTTAAACAAGCTGAGCTGCTCTGGGGAAAGGTGCCATTCTCCCCTCCTGAAGCCTCTACCAGACCTAAGAACACAGTAGCCAGGGGACAAGGCAATGAGGCAACCTTCCTTTCTGCTAGCCAGCAGATCTTTTTCAACAAGATCTAATACAGATTAAAGAAAAAAGATGCATTTTTCAGCCCAAGTGGTTATTTAAAAAAAAAAAAAAGCTGAAAACATGGTAAGGCTCTAGTGACAAGCACAAGAACATATTGACATATTTGACAAGCACAGTTAGAAGACATAGATAACACCACTCTATAGAAGGAAAAACAGCAAACAAAGCTATCTGCTGGACAGTCTGATCACAGTGGTTAGGACCACGCTCGCCACTAAACTTTACTGTTTTACTCTTCAAAATACTGCCTGAATAAAGGAAATCAGAATGACTATATATATATAACAAATAGATCAAGGCTATCTCTGGCTGAGAGGAGAGGTGGATTTCAGAGGTAGGGTGAACTCCCACCTCCTAGTAACTGGAAAAAAAATCCCAAGCCTCCAGGAAAACAGTACTAGCAATCAAGGGCTAGATCTCACTGCTGTTGAAGAGAACAGCAAGTAATTAATAAAACTTAAAATAGCCTCGAAAATAAAACAACTTCTCATTAACACAGAAGAAGCATCAACTAACCTTTTCGCATGACATAATTGAAAAACTGCATGATAGATATCCTCCCGTAGGGATCATTATGGAGTAATTTAGCAAAGATCTTAGCTGTGAAGAACTGCCTGTAAAACATAAACACAAAAGCTACTTCTATGCATCTGATTACACTGCACTGACAGATCCAGTTACAGTATCCAAAACTTACAGACACTTTAAAATACTGTTTAACAATATAGAATGTGTTCTGTATATTCAAAGATGTTAATTTGCTACACTACCCATCAAGTGGGATCCTACCAAGTAACAATGGTAAACTCAATAAAAAGCAGGTGCCTTTGCTGCTCATGAGACTCTTCAGTGATGTGGGAGTTTTGAGAGCTTTCATTCAACTTAATTTCTCTTTAGTACAATATATTTGGTAGCTTCCAATCTTCTACAACAATATGCATATAAAAGGAACTGCCAGTACTGACAACTAATCTGCTTCTGCCCAAAACTCAATCACAAAGCTACGTGCACAAAAGCAGTCTCCAACAGGAGCATAAAGAAGGAATATTCACTGTATGCTGTACACAGAACATCTGGCAGGAAGTTTTCCATCAGAAGATATTAGGGAAGGTTAGGCAATATCACTGGAGACATGCTTTCCTCTTCAAATACAAAATGTGCTGTTTACTGGCCACTAACATCATAAAAATGCTCATACTGATAAGAATTTCTCCTTCAAAAGGATGTAGTACCCCTCTTGCAGACATCTCTATCAAAAGTTCCCTCAGAGATGTAGGGCAATACACCTTTGCAAGGATGCAAAGCAACTAGTTCATCAAAAACTACATGGACATGATTTTATCTCACCATTAAACTGTTTCCATCTATTTTAGCAACTGAAAGTTACAGCAGCACTTAGGTTTAGCGAAAGTAAGCATACACAAGAGAATAAAGCCTTACTTGCATTTAGGTCCAGCTTTTTCACCAACTTTCAGGAAGTTCTCATAGTTGATCATTGCTTCTTCCCCCATCATTGGTGATGTCTGATGTTTGTCCAGTAGAAACCATAGATTCTTAAAAGGCATTTATATTTGGTTAAGAAGATATCTCTCTAGAGATGTCAATGTGCTTAAAACATCTAAGGGCATCTAAGAAATGCAGCAAAAACGTGGTTTTGCTGCAAGGTTATCTCAGTTAATCAGGACACATCATCAGTTCAGCAGAAAAGCAAGCAAGTGATATTTTCACTGCTCAAAACTGGTGTTAAACACACACACAGACACACATTCTCTCTCATTCACTAGGATTTCTAGGGTCACATCCCTTTTGTCTTTGTACTGCAGTAAACTCAACCGTCTTTGCAGTCTCTCTCAGTGATATGTAAACAGAACTTATTTCTTCTTCTGGGCCCACTAGGGAAATTGTTGGAATGTGCTGGAAAACCAGAAGCCATTGATTTTGTCCTCATATACATCATAATGAGGAAGCTTTACACTGACATTACCAGCCCAAGACTACGCAGCACTTCAGCTTTAGCTAGTACTTCACAACAAGCCAATGTGCCCATATACAAAGCACCTTACCACAAGATTCTGTGGACAGACAGGAGATAATCAAACTCTGCAGAAAGAGGAAGTCTTGTCAGAAGCCATTACGAAACATACAGAAAATATTTTCTTACCTGCAGCTCTTCATTATCCAACAGCTCTCTACTTTTTCTTTGCAGAAAGACTGCTCTAGATTCTTCTCTTAATTTCTGAAGCAAGACTTCATCTTCAGCTGGCAGCTAGAAATATTGTGGCATTTTAATCTTCTGTATAGTGGTACCATTCAAACACCACACATCTGGCAAGTACTCTTAGGTAGTCCTGACTCACACACACTGATGAAGCTGTTCACTTGACAGAAAATAACGACCTATCTACCAGAATGCTGTATGGTACCTGCTTCTTCTACAGGCATATCACTTGCAGACTGTCTCAAAGTATTTCAATATTGAAATATTTATTTAAAGCTGGACATCTTTAACATGAGAGACAGAGACCTACCTCATACCTGATAACCCATCCAGTAAGCACTTTCCCCACAGCTGCAAGATAGGAGGGGTCACACATAAAAGACATTTCCTACCGTGTTTTTACTCAGGAGAGAGAAGCACTTTCTGTTTTGTGGTAGGCCTGACCCTCAAATGCATGAGTGTCTACTAGACTTGTTTTGGCCAACAAAACAGGTGGAAGAAAGTCCTGCCGATGTTTACACGCAAAACTGTACAGCACTACCAGAACTTCGATGGTTGCATATGTATTCATCAACTGAAACATAGGTACTTGAGAACTTAATTGGCAGAAGCTTATGATCCTAAGGAATATGGGACCACGCGAAGTTAGACAGCAGCTGAGCGGTCAAGTTGACAAATGCCAGCAATATCAAAATGTCAAACTTGTGCTCCCATATTCCCCCTTCCCAATCTGATTCAACTCACACATAAGTTGCCGGACCAAGCATTTCTGCTGGATGATGCAAGCAACAGACCTATCTTTAGTCTGCAAGACCAATGACCCACCATTTTCATGAAGCAGCATCCCATCGCGATTAAGCAGAAACAGGAAGATATATATTTATAACACTGGTATGTTACAATTTAGTTAAACCAGGAAGTTTTCTCTGGAAGAGAAAGAGGACTTCCTATCTTTAGTAAACAGCCAAGCCTACTGCCTGATTAGCAAACTATTTCATGGCCTTTGATGAGATGCTTAGAAATTATTTGAAACTGCTGAAATCCACAATTGTACAAAACAAAAAGTTATGCTTAGGAATCCACATCATTCAGATTTCAATCTACTTAAGCATCTGAAGCTGAAGTGTCCCTTTGAATAAGCACAACTTTCTTTATAACACAGAATAGCCTCTTGTTGAAGTTTATCTGGATACCTCACTTACCCTGTAGTAAAAGCGTGGTATATTCGTATATGACGTATTGCCACTTTTTCTTCCTCCTTTCCATTCCATGTAATATTTTGTGAACAAATCCATTTCTTCATCTTTTAGCTCCTGTTCGCTCTTTTTGGCTGATTAACACAGAAAAGAATTTTCGTGTTGTTCTCCAAACAGAGTTTTAATGTAACAAGGAGCTTGAAAAAAGGAGTTAATGCTGAGGCTTATACAGCTATGCTGTTTAGTAACACAAATATTAAGTGGAAATGAATGGAGCACAGGCCTATTATGTAAATTATATAACAGATACCTCGGATATGTCACACACTCTATTTGAGTATCTACAAAGCACCTCTTTCAGTAACTGCACACACCCGACTCTCTGTAGGGTATGCGATTGTAACAGATACCTGGTTATGACTGACAAAGCAGCAGCATTCCTGTTTTATGGTGGTAGCAGTGTTTAAGATACTGCTTACTGCAAGCAGCAGCATCACATCACCTTTCACCCTGTAGCATTAGGGATGTCACCATACGCCTGCACAAGCTCTCCGAGGCCTCACTCACGCATAGAGTCGCCAGCCAAAGCTGTCACAGGGGCACGCGCTGCAGGCAAACCAGCCCTCACAGCACCAACGTCCACAGGCCCCTCGGTGCTCCTCAGCCCCGCCCCTGCTGGCACTAACCCCCCGAACAGGGTGTCTGCTCCCCCGCAGAACCAGCCCGAAACCCGCCCGGCCCCCGCGGCAGCCTGCCCCCG